ATGTTTTTGCTTTGTTTCAGGCATGTTATTGCGCTTCTTTGTTCATTTCTATGATATGGAAATCATTGAAGAAGAAGCTTTTCTCGCATGGAAAGAAGATATTACACAAGAGTTTCCAGGGAAGGGCAAAGCATTGTTCCAGGTGAATTGTCTCCTTGCAATCTCTCACATGTAGTAGTAGCAAGTTAAATAAGGCATTGGAATATATCGGAAACAATTCAAAGTGAGCAAAAGATTTAAATAATTGCATTAATTGTATAGTGTGCGGTGGCTTTTGATTCATGTGGGGATATTCTGCAGATCCACTGGGAAGTGTGGCAGTTCTTCCTCATCTGACTGTTAACATTGATTTGGCCTTCTTGCAGGTAAACCAGTGGTTGACCTGGCTGGAAACTGCCGAGGAAGAAGAATCTGAAGAAGAAGCTGACTAAACCAGCCAAAGCCTTAAATTGTGCAAACATACTGTTGCTATGATGTAACTGCATTTGACCTAACCACTGCGAAAACTCATTCCGCTGTAATGTTTTCACAATATTTAAAGCAGCAGTAGGTCAGTAGGACTTGCTTCTGCATAAGGGTTTTTGTAGTATGTCTTAATCATAGTCTACCATAAAAAATATTTTAGAGTATCTTTAATGTTTAGATAACAGTGTATTAGCAGCATGCAATAATTACATCATAAGTTCAGAAGCAGTCTGTGTAAGGATCTTCTTTGATGCCAGTTACCATAGGCTGTTCGTTAGAAATCTGAATAGCAACACTGAATACTGTAGAAATGCACTTTGCTCAGTGTAATACTTGAGTTGTTGCAATATTGATTATCCATTTGGTTGTTACAGAGAATCCTTAACTGTAATCGATGGTGGTTGCCGTAATAGTATATTGCCTGTATTTCTACCTCTAGTAATGGGCTTTATGTGCTAGATTTTAATATCTTTGAGCCTGGGCAAGTGCACAAGTCTTTTAAAAAAACATGGTTTACTTGCACAAAAATGATCAGTTGGAAGAGGTGGATTAATGCCCTTGGAAGTGGTCTTTGGGTGTGAAACAAAATGGTGAGAAGCTGAATTGGTCCCTATTATAGTATTGAAATTAAGTCTACTTAATTTATCAAGACATGTTCATGCCCTGATTTTATATACTTGTATCTATCAATAAACATTGTGATACTTGAATGTCTGTCGAGATGGCTGCTCTTTAATTATTTGTGTACTGTAGAACAGTGGTCCCCAACTTTTTTTACTCCAAGGACCCAGTTGAGGAAGGTGGGGCACCCCCTGTGCTCACACACATGTGCGAAGGAGCGGGGACACTTGTGCACACTCATGAAGGGGTGGGGTGCTCATGTGCAGGGACTGGGGAACAGGAGTGCAAGGGGGGGGAGAGATCTGTCTTCACAGTCCAGTCCATCCGAGGCCACGGACCGGCACTGGACCGGGGGTTGGGGGACCCCTGCAGTAGAAGATTTATACTGAAGCTGAAAGGTTTTAGATGTTCTTCCTTTCCCAGTCATTCTTGTCTGACAGACATGTTTTCTGGTAAGAGCACTGTGCTGTAACTTTCCAGCTGTGAAAGACAAACTAACACAGTGCAGTTGAACACACTTAAGAAGTAGATGTACTGTCTGAAAGCAAGATGGATACTCTGTGCTTATATTCATCTGTTGGTAGACTACAATTCCCAGCATCTCAACGTTGGGTATGCTGGCTAGAAATTATGGGTGTTGTAATCAAATATCTGGAGGGGGCTACACGTTCCCCTCCCCTGCTCTAGAGCCTGCCTGGTCGTGGAAGTTGTCATCTGAAATAGAAACTTCAGAGTAACAATATTAAGACAGTATTTTAATTAAGCTTTATATTCCTTCAGATCAGATGCTAGAAATTTTACAGTGAGTGTAGCACTAGTACAAAAACTGGTGGCACTTAAAGCTCCACCATACAACACCATTATAGAAATCACATTTGTGGTTGTTCCATCACCAAAAAAAAAGGGGGGGGGAGAACTACAGGTAAAACAGTAAATATTCCTTACCTGTTCTAAATCAAGCAAAAGATTGGGGGGGGACGACTGTAATGACAATTGCTGAAATAGAGACATAATGCAGAAGCTACTGTAATATAGAATTCAGATTTGCTTGTGAAGCTGAGGGTAGGCTATGGTAGAACAGATAAAAGGGAACAGTGTTTGAATTTGCTGCTGCATAATGAAGTGACATTCACTAGCTTAAGTAGTCTTTTAAAAATGAAATCCATGAGTTATATCTATACCTAGCCAATTATGGGCAGGCAGTAGATCTTCCAAGTGCTGGCTTTTGGAGCCAAATGAGAGATTATTGAATCCATTTTATACTGGAGTGTTCCAGCATAAAATGGTAGAAGCTCTTGATAGAAACAAATTGGACTACACAGACAGTAAAACAGAATATGTTTTAGTCTAATGCAATGTTTTTCAAACTTCCGCAGATGTTCTTGAACTGCAACTCCCATAAATCCTGGTCAGCACAGCAAGTGAATGCTTCTGGGAATTGCAGTCCAAGAACATCTGGGGACTCTAGATTGAGAACCACTGCTCTAACACACCCACTAGTTCCTCACAATAAATCAAGTTAGGTGCATTTGCAAAGATTTCCTAAATGCAAATAAGAAACATGAGGCCACAATTTTGTTGCTAATAACTATTTGGCTCCAAGGTAATGATAAAAACTAGAACTAAGGCATTGTGGGTCGTAATTGCCCCAAAATACAAAAAAGGGGCAAGCGGTGACTGGATGTCTCATTTCTTGTGTTGCATATAACTTTCTAGAGACTTCCAGGAACAACAAAACCTGGAGGTGGGGAAAAGTTGGGGAAGATCAGGGAGTTCAGAAAAGAACTTGGAGCAGTAAAAGTTCATAATACAGGAACAGAGTACAGTAGTAGCTTAATAAATCAGCCCATTAGTCCATCTAACCTGTAATTGACTGATTGCAGTTCAGGATTTGGGACAATGTTTTTTCTAAGGTCTACCTAGAGAGCCTTGCTTTTCTTTTTATTACGTGCCATCAGGTCAAGTATGACAACACTTTCCATGGTTTTCTAGGTGAAGAATGCACAGAAGTGGTTTACCATTCCCTTCTTCAGGGTCCATGCTGGGACTGCAGCATACCCAAAGCAACACAAGCTGACTCCTCTGGGATGCACAGTAGGGAATTGAACTTCCACCTCTGGCTCTGCAATCAGATACATAACTCACTGAGCTTTCACACCATGATCTCCCAAATGCTAATAAAATCTGGAGCTGCTTAATTTATCAAATCAGATGTGATCATGTGTATTCAATGTAGTTTGTTCTTTTAAAAAAAACAACCAGGGTGTAGCCATTAACAGCTGCAACATTCCACCATTTTGGAGCTTGGGGAACCATGGAAAGCCCCATAATACATGTTTAAAGTTTGAGTGGGGTCTAATCCATTCCAGTGCTGAAAGTGGTATCCTGAGAGCTCACTGATTTGATTGTGGGCAGTAACAGTGTCAGGTCCAGGTTTCAAGAGGACCTGGAACAAATGATCTTCACACAGTCTTCGTTGCCATGGTCCAGCCATTTGGCCTGTCTCCTTATGCCCAATTCCTAATACAGTACAGTGGTGCCTTGCTAGCCAGTTACCCCTTTTGACGACAAAATCGCTTTGCGATGGGTTTATATGGGTTTTTTTCACTTGACGAATAGTTCCCTGCTTCCGGAACCGTTTCTTCACTAGACGACGATTGGAAACAGCTGATCGGCGGGTCGCAAAATGGCTATGAAGATCCTATGGAGGATCTTCGCTGCACGATCAGGTATTTCCCCCATTGGAACACATTGACCGGTTTTCAATGCATTTCAATGGGTTTTTATTATTATTTATTATTATTTTTTTCTCGTTTGACGACGATTTCGCTGTACAACGATTTTGCTGGAACAGATTATCGTGAAGCGGGACACCACTGTAATGCCCACAGAGATCGCACAAGGCAAAAGAATGCACTGGGGCCTGTTCATTCTCCTCCTCCTCACTGCTCACATGCTCGAACGGGCAGGTGAAACAATGAGACAACAAAGAAAAACAGGGTCAGGGGGGCTTGGGAACTGGCCCGACAGCACCAACCCTTGGGATCAGTCTTGTGCCAATGTTATTGGAAATATTTTAAGCACATCTATATAAAATAGTTGCAGAAACACTTGTGCTAACATTTATTTACAAAGTGTTCTTACCACTAGGAACGATGAAGCCATTTCTGCCAGGACACACAGGCCCTATCCCCACCACTGGGTGGGGATAGGTTCAGCTATTATAAGCAATGTTCTGCTGGACAGTAAATAATAATAAAAAAGGCGTATTTAAAATGAAATCATAGTGGGCTTTAAGCATTTGTGCAGAAATGGTTTGTATTAGCTTGCAAGTGTTGCTGCTCTCCACCAGTCAAAATAAATTTCATGATTACTAGCTTAAAATGAAACCAAGGGAAACTTTAAGGGACTTCTGAGGACTCAAGGAAATGTTTCTCTTTCCTAAATATGGTATGAGCTTTCAAGCCAGGCACACAAAAGATAAAACACTATACATTTGATTCAGAAGTAGTTCCTTCTAAGTACTGTATGAGACTACAGCCTTAAATCTTTTATATACAGTACTTGTTTGTTTATGTGCCATCATCAAGTTGCTTACAAATCATAACAGTCTTCATTGTGGTTTTCAAAGTACAGTATGTGAGATAGCAATGCCAACCTTCCTGCCCCCATTAGTGTTCATGGCTGAGATAAATTTTAACCCAGATCTGCCAAGTCCCTTGTCCAGCAATTTCTCTTACATCACACTGGTGGGTGTGTATGTTTGTGCAAACTACTAATCACAGGAAATTAGTGAGTTGCATGTAAAACACTTAAGGACCAGAGCGTTTGTCCTCTTGGCCCTTCAAACTGGCTGCAGTCCTTCAATGCCCTTAACTGGTGGTAAATTCCATGGAAATAGGTGAAATTAAAAGGTGAAGCAGATTATCTCAGGGGTCATAGTAAATGAAGAATATATGATATATTGAAAGTAAAATGTATCAGATTTACTTTAAATGGGAGCTAGGGAATGTGATTCTGGGCAGGCTATTGGTATAAAGGGACTTTTCTGAGAGACATTTTGGATGAGAATATGAGTGTTTATTACAGGACATTTGGCTGCTGTGCCTATATAAAGCCACAAACATAAAGGGTTGCTACTGCAGATAGAGGATCTGGGCTTTGCAGGTAGACACAGAGGCACAAATGTTATGGATTGAGCATGGATTGCTTCTTATATCTTGCACTATCTCTTTTACATGTATACAGCAGCTGTAATCACTTATATAGTCATTTCCTCTCAACTCACTCCTCATTACCATCTTCATCTGGAAACCAGAAATATTCAATTATTTTCTTGCCTCTTCTAGCCGGCAATTTCTCCTGCAGTTCAGTAGGGCAAAGTCTACATAGCTGAGTATGTTCAGGCTTTGAACCGGGTGCAGTAACTCTATACAATATCCTGTAAAAAAAAATAAAACATCAACATCAAGGAAATGCAAAAGCCCACTTATATGAACATCTGCATCACAGTACTGCAGCTTTTTCAGTGTGTTGGGCTACGGATCCAATCGTCCCAGCCAGGATGGCCAGCAGTAAAGGATGATGTCAGTTCTTGTCTAAAACATCTGGAGGGCAACAGGTAGGAAAAGGCTAGACTACAGCGTTACCTGGTTGGTAAGAGGAGGCTCCACACCTCCGGCTTGTCTCCTGCCAGTGTCCAGCAGAGACAATGCTTCATTTTCACTCATTCCTTTCCTTTTCTGTTAATATGACACACAAGCTTATTAATAACAAGGGACAAAAGAAAACAGCAAAGATAAAATGTGATGCTGCAAACAGCTGCTTGACTCTCTCTCTCTCTCTCTCTGTGTGTGTGTGTGTGTGTGTGTCCATCACTTCATGGTTTTCCAGTTTTTTCAATGAAAGCAGCAAGTAAAAGAGGGTGTTTCCCTTTTCCTGTGGCCCCCAACCTCCCTCCAGAGTCCAAAAAGTTTGCACAGAAAGACTTCCTGGATCTTCTCATGAGTGGGGGGGGGGGGCAATTTTGCCATATTTGAGGTCTCCTGTTCAGAAACTTTGTATGCCTCTCCTTAGTGGTTTATACAAGAATAAAGGTGAGAATATTCATTTCTTCCTTCTGTAAATTAACTTTTTAACATGTCATTGTATAACCTTGCAGCAGACATAGAACTGCTTTATATATCACAAAGGGACCCATAACTTTTTGTCTATGCCATCTGCTGTAGAACTTAATAATAATTCTTCTCTTTTAGAGTTAACTGCCAAACACTGGGTGATCAGTCCAAACTAAAGAAGGTTTCACGTGCTGTTTCTTCATGCAACATTATAGTTATGAAGCAGGGAGAATATGCTTTGTATTTAAATTTTTTTTAAATTGTGTATCTTAGAGAAATGTTATTTTTACTCAGTTTACGAAGCAACTATGACAACAAAATAGCACTTGGGAAAAATAAGAGGGAAGAGCAGGGAATATAATGCCACGTTCTTGACTATGTTTAGCCTTTGTTTATAGCAGAAGAAAGCTAAACCATATAGAGTAGAATATGCAGAAGGTAGATGAGTATTTAGTAGTAGATCTCTAAAAGACTTGCACCCAGATATCAGCTGGAGGTCTGGGGTCCTATTTGCCTAGAATAATAGCAATATCAAACATTTTTTTAAAAAACTGGTCCTGCAAGTGTAATGTTCTCCCACAACTTTCTAAAGACAATTGTAAACCATTAGTAGTATAAAGTATCTGAGCAATCATCTTTTGGGGGCTTGGAGGTTCAGATTAATGCAGTTCCATTTGTTTATCTGACAACTATTACTGTTTATACATTAATCACTCCCTTCCGTTCTCCCAGATGCCTTACTTTAATTAACATAAGAAGAGCCCTGCTGGATCAGGCCAAGGGCCCATCTAGTCCAGCTTCCTGTATCTCACAGTGGTCCTACCAGATGCCTCTGGGAGGCCAAGAGACGGCTAGATAGATGTCTCCTGATACCCTTCCCCTGCATCTGGCATTTGGAGGTAACTTCCTTTTAAGCCTGGAGATTATATATCCATATACTGTAACTCCTTCATCCCCTGCATTTTCTCTCTTTCCCTTGACAAACAGCTAGAATTATTCCCATTCAATCTACACCCTTCTGGCCTCTCCCTTTATAAGGGTTTCTCTGGGTAGGCATTAGAGCTTTCTACTGAGCTTGACATGATGAAAATCAAGGCTGAACATTGCATTTTTTAAAAAAGTCAGCACCTTATACTACTATTCCAACTTCTGGTCTAGGAAAGTGAGGGGGGAAAGGCCTAATATCTCAGCATGAGGAGGGGGAGAGCCCTTTACTTCCTTCGCAGGGCTGCATTCCCTTAGGAGTTCCATGCTGACTGTGGTCCATATTCTGTGAAGGTCTTCATGATTCTGTGTCAGGACCACATAATGCTAGTGGGCAAAGTCAAGACCAGCAACACCATTCTTTTCTCCCCGCTCCCTCTGCCACCCTGCTTTGTGCATCTCTTCCTCTGGTGCCCTCTCCTCCCCACCCTCCTTCTCCACCCTCACCCTCTCTCCTCCAGCACAGCAATGCAGCCATCTGGAAGAGGGGAAAGTGTCCCTGTGTCTCTTCTCTGACAACTCGGTTTGCTTCTGTGCCGCCTGAGGAGGAAAAACAAGAGCCCCCTCCCTTTGGGGCCAGTACTGTGGCTGGAGGAGGTGAAAAGCCATTTATTACTCTTCCACCCGAGGAGGAAAAACAAGAGCCCCCTCCCTTTGGGGCCCCTCCAGCACAGCAGCCAGTACTGTGGTTGGAGGAGGTGAAAAGCCATTTATTACTCTTCCAACAGCCTGCAGCCTTTCCCTGCCGGATGAGTAAGTGAAGGCACCGGGTTAGTACTTGCCAGAATTGCCTTAATGGGGATCATTCCCAGAAGAGATTGCTTATCTCCAAAACAGCTGTTCATGTGTCATTCTCCCCCCACCCCTTTTTCTGAGCCTTCTCTGTTCCTGAGCAGTTTCTTGCACAAAGCCCAGCACCTTAAAAGTCTGAAATAAAAGCACACATTACTCCAGTGAAGAAGATTTGAGGCAGGAAGTAGGCAACGGGTGTGCAAATGACATGCGAGTTCTTTGCCTCATTTTGTGGCCTTTATTTCTGCTCATTCTTAAGCTACATTTCCCTTTAAGAACAAATCATCTTGGGAAGCATGGTTACACACCTTTTCTTAGTCGTTGTTGTTTAGTCGTGTCTGACTCTTCGTGACCTCATGGACCAGAGCACGCCAGGCCCTCCTATCTTCTACTGCCTCCCTTTTCTTATAGCGACTGTTTAAAAGAAGGTGTGCACTTCCTTTGCACCGTGTTCCTAGAAGGAAATGTGGTGGCAGCAGTGTGGATGTGAGCACATGCTAGTTGCCTGCCAGAAGCTGCCCATCGGTGACTGAAGGGTTCTCAACAGAAAAAGCAAAACAGAAACCCCACCCCTTTGAAGTGCTGAATTCTCTCAGCCACCATCATTTCTATGTATAAAACACTGCCTCCATTTTTACACAGGAGACCATTTTCTATTCAGAGAAAAGAGGAGAATGAGAGAAAGGGGCAAGTAATTTGTGTGGTCAGAGGATAGGTGAAAAGCAGAAATAACAAGAAGTACCTTTCCACTGGCATTGTCCCTTGTTTGACCCAGTGAGTAGGCTAGTAAACACAGTAAATGGGTTACCTGTCAGCTCCTCTGCACAGAGAGGTCATTGTGTGCTAAAAGATGGCAGAGATTATCAAAGGCCTACCTGTCAGTGCTCTTGGCCTTTTCTTCAGCCTCAGCACTAGGGATTGAAAAACAGACCTGCTCACCTTCCTGAAACATACACAGAAGCAAGAAATCAGGACAGCTCTAGAAGCGGAACTGTTTTCTGAACAGTGATCATTGAAGGTGTGTCTACAGCACAGCATCAACCTGCATGGAAATGAGTCATGCTGTTTATTCTGCATGTTTGTGTCTGTATACCTCTTCTCTCTCTTAAAGTGCTGCTAAATTATAAGGAACATCTGTGCTAGCAACAGACCAAATGGCTGTTGCCAGGTTCTCTTTATAATGCTTACATCTATCATCTTGTTCTTTTTCCCAGACAGCTGACATCCACTGAAAATCTTTTAAAAACTGATCTAAAAGGCTAGCAAACAATAAAGAGCTACAATACTTCAAAGAAGTCTTCCCCAATCCAGCACCCTTCAGAAATTATGGACTATCATTCCCATCAGCCCCAGCCAGCCAGTAGATAGTGGTGTATGATGAGTGCAATAATCCAAAACAAAGTACCAGCTTGGCGAATGCTGATTTACTGGAACAGGATAAGCCTGTTGGTCTTCTTTCGAAAAACACTGGAAGTTACACAAATGGATCAATCAGGCAAGATTGCATTGGTGCTGGCTCCAAAGGTGTTGGGGAAGGAAGGAAGGGAATTACAGCAGTTAAACATTCCATTCTAACAAACTAAGAAACAGTTTCTTATTATGGCATTTGTTCTTTGACATCTCCTTTCCATCTCTGAAAACATTTTTTTTAAATTATGCAATAAAGCATCTCAAAGCTCTCTATACTTTAATAATTTTTTAAAAAAGAGGATTTCCCAATTGATCTCACACAAACCATTCATTTATTTTAAATTTAAACATAATTTTAGTTCTTTAGCTTTACACCTTCCAGCTTATATGTTTTAGAGAGCTACTGCAGCCTGCAGTGGAGCCAGGGGGCCAAAAATGGTCCTACCACTGATTTCCAGAGCTTCTCTATGCCTGTTACACGCTTTCCCAAAGCAGGCTATAAACCAAAGCAGGCATCAGAATAAGAGTTTGGATCCAGCATGTTGAAAACCTCTCTCTTCACCATGAATCTGAAGACACTAATATTTCCAAATCCTAGCTTGCCTTTTATCAATTATTTAACTATAAGAAAGTATATTTTCATTTTTATCTATCGCCTCTAAATTTTATAATCCACATATAACTGTACAATTAAAACTAATCATATTAGTACAGAACTAATTCCACAGATATGACTCAGATTTATCTTTTTTTTTCATACTAATGCCAAATTTGGAGTGGGGGGTAGAAAGAGTTGAACTATCAGATTAGTAGAATTCCCATATTCTTTTCTGGACTGCACATAGAACAAATGCAAAATAGGCAGATCTATCCTTCTCCTTTTGAGTTAGCCAGAGATCAAACAATTGGTTGAATCCTGCATTTCTTCCCACAGGCAGGTAGATCTCCATAGTGGAGCCCCATAGTGTAGTGGTTAGACTGCACTACTACAGTCAAGCCTCTGCTCACAACCTGAATTCAGTCCCAATAGATTCAGGTAGCTGGCTCAAGGTTGACTCAGCCGTCCATGCTTCAGAGGTCTGTAAAATGAGTACCCAGCTCATTGGAGGTCAAAGTGTTTTTTGTATGATTCTGCTGTAAACTTTCAGCACTAGGGGGTGATATATAAGTCAGACTACTACTGCTACTGCTACTCTACTCTATGCTGCTGCTGCAGCATGGTGGAATTCTACTCTGAAGGTTCCTGCCAGCAGAAAGGGCAGGAGGCAAGCTCTACGAATTCTTCCCCTCCTCATAATGCAACATTGTAGAGGGACCACAACCCTCTGGAGAAGTTTCAACAAATTATTCAGTGGGTCTATTCCAGCTTGGAAAAGCAACAGGATTTAGGCCAAGGTGTTTGAATATTAATTCTGCTTTTTCTTTACTAGAGCAAAAAATGTGTATACGTTTTTGCCACTTCGAGAACTTAGATTTAACTCCTTCAATCTGATTCCTTCACACAAGCTATCCTTTACAGAACTGGTCAAATGCCCAGTTTTGCGACCAGGACATGAGAACTAATGCGATGTAGAATCCTCAAGGGGAGGGAAATGTTTGTACATTGCTTTTCCACAATCATGTTAATTCTTCTGGCCGTTAGTTTTACAGAAAGCATATTCCCAGGGGACATGAAAATTGGCAGAATTGGCACAATATTGAACTTGACAAATCACAGAAATTGTGGAACAGAAATGGTAAAATAACAATGGCAACTCCATATAAAGAAAATCTTTATAAAATGTTTTCTAGATGGCACGTACCACCTGCCAGAATTGCAAAAATGTTTCCAAATATGTCTAGTAAATGTTGGAAATGTGAACAAAAAGTAGGTACCTATTATCATGTATGGTGGACATATGAGAAAGCAAAAAATTGGACTAAAATACACACATGGTTGATTAAAATGATTTTAAAATGTATAGATTTTAAACTAGAACTGTTTTTATTAGGTATTTCACCAGAGGATCTTGATAAACAATTGGTTTACCTAACTCTGCATATTGTGACCACAGCTAGGATTGTATTTGCACAACATTGGAAAAACAAAGAAATACCAACAGAAGAAGAGATAATTAAGAAGATTTTAGATTGTGCAGAAATTGATAGACTCTCACTGAGACTGAGAGAGAAAGAAGACTCAGAATACTTTAATACGTGGAATTTGTTCTGCAAATGGCTAGAAGATCGGAGAAGGGATTAAATCATCAAAACACGAAAATAGATAATTATAAGCAAACCCGTGTAACACAGTGTTTAATAAGCATGAATTGAATGTAGATATAGTGAAAAACTAAAAAAAAGAAAATGGGCAGAATTAGTCCTGGAGATGCATCTTCTTTGAATTAGAAAGTTACCAGTGCTCTAGAAGTTGTAGTCCAAAACTACAAGTGTACACAACCTATGACAAATGTCTCAAAGTCTTCTAGGTCGAAATAAACCTTATTGACATCACAAACTATGTACTACATTGCACATTATTGTTACTCACATTTGCAGTACATTCTTACTCCCTTTCAGCTCAGGGTAATATACATGGCTATGTATTGCTACTCCTGCTTTTATACTCATAATAACACTGTGATGCACGCTGTTGAGAAGTATGCTGTGTCCTCTATAATACACAAATAGGTATGGAACACTACAGCTGCCTACATTTTAGATTCTCTTCAGGCAGCATGACTATGTGAACTGTCACAATAAATGGCTGCACTTCAAAATTCACCACTACAACAGTGGATACGCTCTTATTACGATCTTTAATATTTCCCAATAATTTTTAAAGAATGCAGTAATTTAACAAGAAGAGCTGCTGCTTGCAAGTTGCTGCTGGGTACCTAAAAGTAGCCATATTTGAAGGTGCAACATAGCTTATGTGAACTATATGCTCTTTTCTCCAGTTGCAATTCTGTTACAATAAACTGATCATAATATACCAGAGGCTGTGCAAAAACAAATTATTAGAGTCTGCTTCCATGAATTTTAAAATATGCTTCGTATGAATCCTAAATATGTAACTTCACTTAAAAATTCCAAATGTAAAGTGTCATAAATTACTCATATTCTAATTCCTGTTAATTCAATCTTGTGGGTTTTTTTTAACTTCTTAGCAATATGAACTATTCATGTTGCTAAGACTGATTCAGTTATGACACCACACACATGCATATTTGGTAAATGTATTCACATCTTGGCTCCCTCTTTATAAAAGGAGTTGAATCCTGCAGCAAAAGATAAACAGATCTCTCCTATGAAGGACTGCTACCCACACAAAATTACGTGCTTGTTTTCTTCTATTTCTAGTCTTGCATTATGCAAGGCTATTCCATCACAAGAAAACAAGAATTAATACAAAGTGGCATTTTGTCACTTAAAGTCATGGGTATATGGCTAACTGTATTGGTGAAACAGTCTTCATTACTAAAGGTTCTTGGTGACATGTAGCTACAAACAAGCCGTAAGTGCTCAGCCACAGGGTGAGCACACCACCCTTTCTCCGCATAGGCTTTGAAATCCAGTTAGTGTCTCTCTCTGTTGACACAAGACTTAGCTGAGTGTGGTGTCTGCCCAGGTCATGCATATTCCTATGCTATTTGCATAGACCAATAGGAATGCTGGAGGGGCAGAGTCACGAGACATAAGAGACTCAGCAGGAGGAGGGAGAGCTATATAGAAAAATAGATAGGATTTTCAGATGGAGATTTAAAGTGTTAGTTAGGGAGTTGAAGAGATTGAGAGAGAGTTGAGTTTGGCCGGGAGAGTGGTGGTTGAGAGTGGATAAAGGAGAATGTTTGTTTAAGAGTTAACAACATTGCTTGCTCTGTCAACACCTGTATCAATAAACAATTTCTATTTGGTTCTTTTAAATTGACATACGCCCTGGACATCTATCATTAATAACAGGCAATGTTGATGTAATCAACTGGTGGCCCTGAAAGACACGTAGCGTGAGCTCTTTGTTTGGTGAAACAAGCAGGGGCCACGTGGGAATCATGACACTGAGAAAGAAGGAAGCCCTCCTGCAGATTCCCACAACTTCCCCTAAAATATGCTCTGATGTGTTGAGGTAACTTTCTAGGGCAGATTTGGGGAACCTGGGATGGAGATGGATTCAGAGGCTGAGTAACCAGTAGTGCTGACAGAATGAGCATTGGGATTGAACACCACTGAAACCAGAGATTCCCCAAGACCATGATGATGGAGACCTTGGAGCCTGGATCGACATAATGAGCCCCAGGGCCCGTCTCCAACATGGGGCCAACACGTGGAACTCCACGAGCTCCACAATCCATGGAACATCACTCCAGTATCAGCAACAGGTCTGTAATAAGCTCTTGGCGTGATGGAAGAGGGATAGGCTCCAAGACAGAAAGCCACATCTTTAAGTCTTCCCATCTTTTAGAAAAGGTTTGGAGTCTGAGAGGGGCCTCTAGGACCGGAGCGTAAAAACTCCTCTGTCTGGTCTGAGATTTTGCTGAAGCAAGTAGCTCATTGAGAGCTCTCCAAGGTGCTACAAAATGTGGCTTGCCTTGATGCCCTGAACTCTAAGGGCTTCTGTTTTTGGTCTGAATAAGACACTGAGGGGTTGCAGGGGACAAGGGAAAAGGACATGGGATCTCACTCATTAACAAAACATCCACAGGGATACACTGTAAATCCAAGGCTGTTCATCTCCATTGCCCTTCTGAAATAGGCATAATTATTTATTTTATTATGTTTATTTAATTTATTTTATTTGTACCCCGCCCATCTGGTCTTACGACCACTCTAGGCGGCTTCCTTCCCTTTTGTTCAGTATGGGAGACCCATGTTGGACCAGCCTGAGTCTATTATCCCTCCTTCTCCGCATGCCCGGGGGCTACTATTCCAGTTAACATTTCTTGTAAGAAAAGAGTGAGAGAAGCTGCTAGGGAAGCTCTGGAACTAGTGCTAGTGAAACCTATGCCCTCTGGATCCCACACGATGCCTCTTTGCCAAGCAGGCCAAGAGGGGCTTAGGTTTCTAACTTAGAAACAATGCTATGGATTACTGTAACCACATAATATAACCTGCCTTCTGTGTCATATCACAAAGGGTAGATAATGGTGTTAGTCAAAAGATTTTGTTTTGTTTTGTTTGCTTTAGTGTAATTTTATGATATTTACATATCTTAAAATAATATTAAATCTCATCTTTTAGTTAAGTAAAATGGTGTTTTGATTCTTATAGTTTAAGCTCACTTCTTATTAATGCTTATTCCAGCTACAATCCCTTTTCCAGATAATCTCTTTCCTTTCCATGAGGAATGCTTTGGGCTATCTGAATGCATCGCCTCTCCTTGTGAGTTCTCTAGAGCAGTGGTCCCCAATGTTGGGCCTCCAGATGTTCTTGGACTTCAACTCCCAGAAATCCTGGCCAGCAGAGGTGGTGGTGAAGGCTTCTGGGAGTTGTAGTCCAAGAACATCTGGAGGCCCAACGTTGGGGACCACTGCTCTAGAGGCCCTTCTGGTTTTGTAAAAATAAACCTGTAACAAAATTGCCCCCCCCCAAATTCCTTCTGGGAACAATAAATAAAACATTTATGGTTAAAAAAAAACATTTTTTAAAGGAATGTGGAGTAGAGGGCAGGTCACAGTGGAGGGCTGGCCACACTTTGCCCATTCCAGTAGAAATGGGCTCTTCCAACCTAATCAGGTGTTCTTGGTCCACTACAGAAAACCCTGTTTATGCTGTAAAACCCCACATGAACACAGTTTCCATTTACAGAAATAAAGAGGCCAAGGGAAGGTGTTTTGTGATGCTTACCGCAAATCTCTGGAGAGTGCCATCCTCATTTCTCAGTGCTGTTATGTGCTCATTGCTTTCACTGATGCACAAGAAATAGCTCTTCAGTTTCACCTGGCACTAAGAAGTGAAGAGGAGGAATGTGGCTTGAATATCTGAAGGCACCATGTTTTATGCAAAATAAGATCTTTCAAAAATATTTAACAAAACATTTTACCAAAAGGAAGAAAAGCATGAAGCCAAAGCAATGAGAAAAGGAAGTCAGGAAATGAAATGAAGCTAGAAAGAGGGACTAGTAAACTACTTGAGAGGAGTTTATACTTACAAAACCCTATGAATATCACCATGCTATTATTATTATTATTACATAATATAATACTAAAAAATATGAGACAAACCTTTGACTGGTATTATAGAAAAGAGATTTTAACCAAAAACCTAAATATCAGTTAGATATCAAATGTAATATAAAATGTTATAAGCTGCAAATTTTATATGGTACGTTTTAATTTGTTGCTTATCCAGAGGTATGACATTCAGCTAATTAAAATCAACTGTTTTACCCATGATAACTTGGTTATCCTAGTGTGTGGTATTGCAGTTCCATTTTATAAAAATGAAATAGGTTAAAATTTATAGCAAGGAAGAAAAGATGTGAGATGTAAGATTTAGACAACTATTGAAAATGATCTTTGCAACTTGGTCATGCCTGAACACATAATCATTTGATCCTAGCTTGGGACATCCACCTATGAAATGATGAATTGTTTCTTTAGATTCATAACAAGCCCTACATATATCATTAACACCTTGTTTCATTATTTTCTGATAGTATCTAGTGCAAATAACTTGTTCTTGGGCTGTATATATGAATTCCTCAGTTTTAGCCTGAAGATGGCTTAATTTAAGCCACAGGTTCCATGGTTGTTTGTCAACATTCTCATCCAGGAGGTAGCTGGGTTGCTGTCCATATATAAGAGTGTCTCAAGCTATGCATCCCGCACTGTGGGACTTTCATTAGCATAGGTCCATTCTCACCTGTAAGTTGCAATACCATTAGTCCTTTATCATTTTCTACAGTCACCCGATGAAGTGGAACTATGCTCCCATGGAATTAACCACACAGAGATTCATAAAGTTAATAAGTTTCCACCTGCTTATGCTCTATGGCAAATAAAGGCACATGCCTTTAGATGACAGCACTAGGATTTTGACAGGAGGACGCTGGGTTTTTTATTTAAATCATTAGGATAATCATACTTGCAGTGAACAGTTCCAAAACAATATGTTGATAGTGAGGTTGTCCAACTATTAATACTAACAATTTTTCCTTTTGCACCAAGTTCTTTTCTGAGCACCATCTTCAAGGTACCGTATTTTTCAGTGTATAAGAAACCCCCCCACACACTTTTCTAATCCAAAATTAAGAAATCTAAGTGGGGCTTAGCAACTGTAGGGGGAAAGGGATCAAAGTGCTGCAGGATTGCTTTGATCCCTGCTTTTCCCTCCACTTGTTTTTGTTCTCTCCTCAGCTTACTTCCGTGTATGAGACAACCCTCAATTTTTAGTCTAAAGATTTTAGATAAAAGTATAGTCTTATACACAGAAAAATATGGTACTTGTTCTGAATAACAGTTTCAGTTCCTTGTCATTTATACTGAGATTTTTATGGGTGCCCATATATTTATAGGTTTTTGGTTCCTCTAAGCATTATATATTATGTCTCCTAATTACTTCCTTCTGAGACTTAGTTTCTTCTCATGTGAATAACAGCACATTTATCAACACTAAAGTTCACCTTGATATCTATACTACAAGACACAGCAATATTTAAGAGACTATTCGGTTTCACGAATAGGGAAAGCTTGCAAACTTTGTATCATCTATACTGATCAAATGTGAAACATCAAGGCATTTTCTCTGGTAATTAGGCTTGTGTGCTATCACTCAGCTGTCTAGGCAGGGGATTTAGAGCAAAGCACAACCATAAAGGAATTTAAAAATCACACTGAAAAATACCTCTTCTACTAAACATATTGTTAAAGAGAAGGTCTTTGTACCTTAATTTTGTCCTCCACTTCATCATGAGTTTAGATAGTAATAATTCTATTATAATTTTTTTAGATACTTAAAATTTCAAGAAGCCTGACTGGGCCACAGAATCAAATGTCTTTTGGTAATTTTCTTGAGCCAGGGATGAGTGGTGTTGAAGCGCAGGAAGAAATTGCCCCTTAATTGGAAGGTTTCGCCATCTGTGTCTTACCTTTATGAGAAAAAAAAATTCAAGGCCAAAAACTCACTCTTGGTACAAGCCAATTAACAAAACTGGTTTCAGCTGAAGAGAAGAGTGGGTGAGAGAGTGAAGTTACTTTGGAAAAGTTACTCTTTTCTTTGAGAAGTTTCAGGGCAACTCAAGGCCTTATTGGTGCATTCAAAGGGCCTAGCAAGTGGAATAACAGGTATAAAAATTTAGAGTTTGCTTAGTTTAGCCTAGTCTCTCTCAGGGGAACACTATGCTCACCTGCTGCTTTGCTAACTAATCTATACTTTGTACATGTTTTGGAAACATACTGAAGCTCTGCTTCAATGTGACTATTAGCTTAGGATAGTTAGCTTTTTTGTTTTCTGTTGGAATTATTCCGGAATTGTCTTTGCCTCAATATCTTTTGAATGCTTATTTACTCCACACCTTTTTTATTGCTTTCGGGATTTTTGAAACTGTTTGGAACTTTATCCTTTTTTATTCTTTTTTGCAATAGTTTTAATAAAATAATAAAAATTCACAGCAGTTTGGTTATTTTGGGAATAAAAGAGGATTGTTGGTTCTAAAGAAAGATTTTGCTTTCAACACCTACTGGATACCATATATTTTGTAGGAATTTTGCTATTCCTGCTTGGCAGGATTGCCATAAAAGCTAAAAGGCTCACTCTTTTGGTATTTCCAGGAGCATTGTGCAGTTAGAATGACTCAAGGTGTTGGGGAGGGGTACTGAGCAGGAAGATTTCTCCCAGCCATCAGCAAATTTGTCCTTTCTAGAATTCACCCACACCAGGAAAGCCTGGGTAGTGCAGCTAAGTGGTTAGTGTGGACTTCTCTGACCTAGCCATAATCTTGATAGTAATCAATTTAAGTAATAGATAAATGTCTGGAGATTCTTCAAGCCTGATTCAATATGAAGCAATCATTAATGAATAATTCCGTACAGTACAACCACATGATTTCTTACTGCAGCCTTTCTATTGTTCCATTAGGATATGATTGCATTCAGGAAAATTATGTATGTTTTGGGAAATAATTGATGTAAGCAGCTTGTAAGCTGTGAGTAAACAAGTGATAGGACAGTAGCTTTTAGGATCAGAACAATCACCAGATTTATTAAAGAGATAGGTTCTTCCTTGTGTGAAAAAGTCTGGAATATGATCAGGGTTGTCAAAGCCTTTGTATAAAAAAAAGGGTATGTGAGTTTAAATCAAATTTTTTTCCACCAAAAGTTATGGATTACTTATATTATTACTATTATTTTGACAACTACTACTACAATTACTAAATGGTGACGCACCCCTGGGAGGTAAGTCAGCTACAGGAGAGCCATTTATTTATTTATTTATTTATTTATTTATTTATTTATTTATTTATTTATTTATTTATTTATTTATTTATTTATTTATTTATTTATTTATTTACTTACTTACTTACTTACTTACTTACTAGTCCAAAAAACAACAGAATTAAAAACATCAATAAAAAAGAGAAAGTCATAACTATAACTACAGTATGAGTAGCTTATTTTCTTCAAGGAAAGGATCTGGAGCTTAAAGTTTATTAAAGTGTAGGCTGATCTGGAAACTAGATAAGTGAAACAGTTGTGCCTGATGTACCTGGCTTGATCAACCCAAATGATTATTTTTAAAAATGTTTAACCTGGCAGTGTTTTTGTTTTCAAAAAGCCGTACATTCTCCTTATTTGTTTCAAGACTGTGGTGTGTGTGAAGAGAGACTTAACCCTTTCCCCCGTGCCATTTTCTGAATCTAAAACCTACTATTCACCCCAATTTAATAATAAATAAACAAAATCAAATAAATGGTACTGGGATGGCTCAGAAAGAGCTTGGAAGAGAGAAGAAGGAAATTTAATCAAGGTCATATCTTGATCCAAACCGAGGACCCTATGGCTGTTTTTTAATATAGCCAAGCAGCACATTTATCTACCAAAAGCAGCCATTGGGCCCCCAGTGAAGCACATTTAAAAATCAAATGCTTAAAGTTACACTGTGTCACCCTGCAGTTTGAAATAGCTCACCTTGCCACTTCTCAGCACTGGGCCAAGAGGATCCTATTTCAGCCCCTGGAATCTTTATCAGAATCATTCACAGAGTACTTTGCCCATAAGATATATATTGTTTTAAAGTAGTACATACAGCTTTATTTTGCCTTTTTGATTTTTCCTCTTCTTGAGAATGCAAGAGGTCGGCTAAAGCATTGTACTTCTTCATCCATATCTCACACTGTTTTTCCTTCTCTTCTTTGTCAAGTTCCAACAAACGCCTCTCCCTTTCAGCCTCATAATGCAGAAGAGTTGCTTTTTCTAAAGCCTCTTCAGCAGCTTCAGTTCGGCATCTTTGAGAGATTTCACTGTAGAAAGGTGGGGAAATACACATATGCACAGAAGCAGCCAAATCAATTAACAAATAATAACCAAGAAGTGTATTATCCAAACCAAAAACAAGCCTCATGCTACAAATAAATTGTGCAGATTTATTTCTTGAAGCTCTGAACCATGTACCCACTGATCTGTCTCTTTACACATGCACCATTTGAGACTTGAAAGCAGATCACATGCATAACTGAAACAGTTCTCATTATCATTGTAATAAGCCAAAGACTATTCCCAAATGCCACCAAATCACAATTTAGTTAAAAAGCTTTTCAACCAGACCAGATCACTTCACCAGATGGTACTCTGCATTTAAATCTGCAAAAATGCTACTGATGACTACCAACACTTAGCTTCCTTCTTCAGGGATGAATCCATATGTACCCAAACTGTGAAATTGAGTCCTGAAGGAGACTTCAGATTTTGAATCCTTTGTTCCTGATCTGGCCTGATTCTGAACTAAAAACACTTTTGTGTTACCTGGCTTAATCTTGGATTTGTTTGTTCTCAACCAGTCCATTAACAATACTAGACATAAACTGACAGACTGGAACAGTTCACTTGAATTTTGATGGCAAGAAGAGAAAGCCTTTTTTCATCATTAATGAATTGTGTGCACTTACCACAAGAAGAGGGGAGTGTTCCAGCCTCACTCTTCTACTCAAGGAAAGCAAAAAGTCTGGAGGAGAGATTCTCTGCTATCCACAGAGGCATTCCTTGTGAGACGAAACCCTGAAAAATCTCCAAAAAGCTCTCCAGATAACAGAGGCTCTCCTCTTCAGATTCATCGCACCCCACGGGTAGGAAAGTGGCACCATCAGAAATGGCACATAGGATGGGGCTAGACCATTTCACTCTCCCGATAGTAAATGTACATAATAAGCCGATAACTGAATAACAAGGGCCATATATAGGATATATACTCCGCTTATCCAGTTTGCAGAGAAGAATGTCCAATAAGATTGGATGAAGCCATTTCTGTTCTGTAACCAGACTTGAAGCCTGGTTTAAACGGATTTATAAAATCTGACTCATCCAGAAACATCTGGAAATATCTCTCCCAATAATGGAACATAGCAGATGGGCTATTAAATCTAAAATGGCAGGGTTCAAGGAGGGCTTTTTAAAAAACAAATGTCTTACCATGGTCTCTGCGAGGCATGATGAAATCACATATTGTCACAAAGAGGCATTCACCTTTACCTGTCTCTATTCAACTGTCCCCATCTTCCTTGCCATTATTACAAGCCAGGAAGAACAAGGATCAAACATGCATGTGGTAAATCTCACTTCTCCAAAGTTTCGGTCCATTTCCTTGGGCTATATAAAGTGAAAAATATTCACTATGGCTGGACAGGCAGAGGCCAAAGTTAGTCATTGCTTTAGTCTCTCCTACATCAGCCCCTATAAATTAGCAGCAGCTGTTGAAACCATGACACCAGTTGTATCTGTTCCAACATTAAAATAATCATGGATGTATTGTGTATTTTGTGTGTTATACAAGACTTTGGAAAATAATATAGAGGGAAGTTGGCAACAGTTTCTGCTTGAAGCAACCCAAAGGAAAATATGTATTCAAAAGTATATGTATATAGAGGTTCAGGCTGAATAGCAAAAGCAAAACCATCAAAACAATTGAATAAGTGTTGTATTTTTTTAAAGGAAATTGGTTTCTCCATCCTTCTTGACTCAGCCTTGAGACCCAAATATATGTGCAAACAGATTAGCCTTTCAAACAGATGAACCTTTCAAAAATTCTCTAAAATGAGGGAAAGAAGTTAACCTTTCTGTGACAGTATTATTAAGAGGCTGAGACACAACAGCTGTCATAAAGTCTAGTTGTGTTGGGGTGGAGGCTGATGTTTAGAATATTTGAAACTAAATTGTGTAAAGTATATATCTCAACTTTAAGAGACTTTGGGGATGGGGGTGAAGCAGATTTCATGAAATGAGCGGCAACATAATATAACCATACAAAATATGGGGAAGCCACCAAGTTGAATATTTAGCTGGGTAGCATAGTGGCTAGCCCCATATCTGGCTGCAGAACCAGAGGTTCAATTCCTCCACTGTGCCTCCTGGCAGAAGAGCCAGTCTATGTATCCATGGGCAAGCTATACAATCCCAGGGCATCCCTGGAAGAATGGAACGATAAACCACTTCTGAGTATTCTCTACAGTCAGCCCTCGACTTACAAATAGCCCTAGTTACAAATATTTTGACTTACAAACCGCTCTGATAGAAAAATATTGACTCGACTTGCAAACTTAGAGTCGAGTTACGAACTGAAAAAAACGCGGGAGGTGGGGAAAGCGCGAAATTTGAACTTTCAGTTAACCATTGGCCAGTGAAGAGGGTGCCTGTCTGCTTCCTCGCTCTTCCCAGCATTCAGAGAGTGGATTTGGAGACAGTCTTCAGATTACCTGGTACTGCCTGGTATTGCCTGGTACAGTGCTGTATGGACTGTATTTTTATTTTTTGGCTTTTAAAAAAAAATTTATTTTTTGATTTTTAAAAGGTGTTTCCTCCCTCCTTTGCTGCCCCCCTTTTCTCCAAAAGGTGCTTGTATTGGCTTGTCTTGATTGAAAAGGTGCTTTTCAAGGGGATCTGTTATCTGAAAGGTGCTTGGTTTTTCCCAGAAGGTGCTTGTCTTGGCTGAAAAGGTGCTTTTCAGGGTGTTCTGTTGAAAAGGTGTCTGTTCCCTCCTTCCCTCCCTCTTTTCTTTCCTTTTTTTAAACCTAAGTCATCTTAGGTTAAAAGGAAAAAAAGAAAAAATTCTGCCCCTAGTGGTAGGAACGGATTAACCAGCTCTGCATTAGTTCCTATGGGAATTAATGATTCGAGTTACAAACCGCCCCGCGACCTAAGAACCAAAAGACAGCCGGAATGGATTAATTGGTTTTCAATGCATTCCTATGGGAAATGCTGATTCGAATTACAAACTTTTCGACTTACAAACTTCCTTCCGGAACGGATTAAGTTTGTAAGTCAAGGGTTGACTGTATCTGGAAAATCCTAGAAAGGGTAATCATAAGTCAGAATTGTTTACCATGAAAAAACAATAATGCTAGGAAAAGTTGAAGGCAGCGGAGGGGGGTGGAGAAAAAACAAATACTAGATGGATTAATTCACTAAAGGTGTCAATCCATCTAGCCTTGAGTTTACAAGAGCTGAACAGGGTTGTTGAGGACAGGACATTTTGAAGATCTCTCATTCATAGGGTCTCCATATGTCAGAGGCGGCTCAATGGTACATAATAGGAATTATGAAATAAGCAGTCACTTTCCAGAACAGGAGAGGTCCAGTTTTTGAAAAATACAGTAGATCTAAATTAAAATCTTACTTTTCTTTACACTTAGAATTCTCTTCTATTGTTCCTTTCAGTTTCTGTTTCAGCTCATTTCTTTCATGCTCCAAATATCTTTTTTCTTCACTGATAACTTCTCTCTCCATTGTTATTCTCTCTAGTTTCAGCTGACTTTCAAAGTGACTCTTTTCCACTTGTGTTAAGAGGAGCTGCATTTCTGTTAACTAAACAAAAAAAGGCTTATTTTTCCCCTTTTCTTAGCAGTAAATTGAAGTGACTGCGATTATAACATCTAAAGAAAGCAGGAGTAGGGGTGAAAGCCAGAAACTGTGTTGGGGGACAGGATAACAGTGTTTCCAGAAGAAACTGAGAATGCTATCTTATACATGTCTGTTCAAAAGTAAGCTGATGTAAGTGGAGTTTACTCTGAGGTATGTATATATACCATTATCCCTAATTAATGCTGCTCTGTGTTAAGATTGGCAGTGTAGAACTAGTGGTTTGAATCCATAATCCTGTATTACTGTCCTGGCTCTTGTACAGTATTAGTGTTCTTAGTCCTCTCTCTCCCTACAGCAACACTACAAGGAATGAATATGGATTCCCTTGTGTACCGACTTAAAGTGATTCTCTAAGCCAGTGGTCCCCAACCTTGGGCCTCCAGATGTTCTTGGACTACAACTCCTAGAAGCCTTTACCATCACCTCTGCTGGCCAGGATTTCTGGGAGTCAAAGTCCAAGGTTGGGGAACACTGCTCTAAGCTACAACTCCACATAATTCTCATCAATTTCAGATTCTTGGCTCCCCTGCGTACAGCTGAAGCACACTCCAGATTCCCCTACCAATATACAAAGCCTTTTTGTGGAGAGATGGAACCAGGATGTTGGAGCTGAAAACTTTATCCCATGAGGTCTACCTGACACACATTAAGCTAGCCTGTGGTCTTCAAGAACTGTGAAGGATCTTTCCATTGCAGATTGAATGGGTGGCATCTTGTATTTCACTTCAAACAGTTAAATATCATCAGCCTTGCCTTGGTTTGGCACTGCCTGAGATCCTTTCAGATGCCCAGAGCTTTGAAAATTATTTTTAAAGTAATTAATCACAGTTCCTGCTCCAATACCAACATGATAAAGTAGTTGGTAACCTTTTTAGTTATAATTTTAAAAAGCTGATGTTTATCATTACAGTGGTGCCTCGCTTAGCGAGCGCTCCATTTAGCGACGAAATCGCTTTGTGACAAACTTTTTGCGATTGCAAAAGTGATCGCTTTGCGATGTTCCCTATGGAGGAATTTCGCTTTGCAATGATCGGTTCCCTGCTACGGGAACCGATCATGGCAAAGCGACCATTTTTGCACAGCTGATCGGTGGTTTCAAAATGGCCACCAGGTAAACAAAATGGCCGCCTGCTGTTTTCTGGGACGGATTCCTCACTTAAAAGGCACTGAAAATGGCCGTGCTATGGAGGATCTTCGCTGAATAGTGAGTTTTAAGCCCCTAGGAACGCTTTAATCAGGTTTTAATACGTTTCTATGGGCTTTTTAATATCACATAGCAACGTTTTCGTTCAACAGCGATTTTTGCGGAATGAATTAACATCGCAATGCGAGGCACCACTGTATTCAAAATTAACTTGCCACCCAGAGTAGACCTTTGGTCTAGATGGGCGGGGTATAAATCTAATAAAATAAAAAAATAAACCTTTTGCTTAAAGAATAACTTTTAATACAAATACAAACCATACAAATCATTTGGCTCATAGCGCAAAACACTTTGTTACACTCTCTCACAAGTCACTTTATGGCAACACCAATATACACAACAGAGCATGAGGCAAAGCACAGTATGAACTGGCATTTGAGTCATATTGCTGTTCTTTCTCCATTTATTAAGGCCACATCTGTGTAAGCAGAAAAGCAATGTTTGCACTTAGTTATAGTACAAAATGCATGAGGTTCTCCCTTTTAAATTGGTTATACCTTAGTTATTGGAAAAAGGAACCGTTCATTACAAATAGTCAGTTATTTATAAGTGGAGAAAGAAGACATTAAAAACAGAAACAAAAGAGAAAGACCTCACATGAGGTGAGCTGAACAGGGTTGTAATGACAGGATCTTTTAGAGATTTAATAACAATCTCTTCCAAATGTTTTAGAGGCCCCATGATTTGTCATTTTACTTATTACTCCTGAGGCTAATAAGACACCGTGACACCAACAAATTCCAAGTTAGCTGGGAATGTAAGATTTTGGAACGTTGTCCTACTCCAAAGTATTTAGGAGTCGCCGTGAATCAAACCCTGATTTATAAAAAACATTGTCTAAACATCAAACAGAACGTTGCTGCCAGAAATAACATAAATAGGAAAGAGGCTGAGTCAGACTGGGATGCACACCCACAAAGAATAAGAACAACAGCTTTGTCCCTGTGCTACAGGAGATTATGCTAGTGCCATATGGTATAAATCAGCTCATGCCAAACAAGTGGATGCGGCTCTTAATGAATCATGCAGGATTATTATTGGCTGCCTGAAACCTGCCCCCCCCATTGGAAAAGGTCTATTATTTGGCTGGCATTGCCCTTCCAGAGGTGTCAAGAGGTGCTAGCAAATAATGAATGGAATAAGTTAACACAGTGCCAAATCCATCTACTTCATAGACACCAAACCCCTCAACAGTGGTGAAAGTTGAAACAATGTTTTCTGCACACATCTCAAGTTCCAAATATTAAAGCAGAAAAGAGTAGACTACATCTATGGAGAACAGAAACACCACACCTTGGTGTAAAGAGGAAAGCCAAAGACTGTCCCCCATCAGGAGAAAACTTTGTCTGGACCATCTGGAAGTCACTTATTAGACTTCAAAGCAAAGGAGGAAGATCAAAGAATAATAAAGTAAAATAGGGCTAGTTGGATATGACAAATTTTCTGTGAATGTGGAGAAATTCAATCAATCCAGAACTTTTGTGCATGCAATTTATGTCCCACCACATATCCACAAAAGAATACCTAGCTAATGGCCATGATAATGCTATCGAAGTAGCCCAGTTCTGGTCAAAAATAGTCTAATTATCTCAACATTTTAATTTTTAAAAAATCTTACCTATAATTCATATATATCAATAATTTTAAATTGTGTAACACTCTGATACAGATAAAGACAATAAAGAACCATGTTGTTTCAGGAGCCTGTAGCTCTGTTATTTTTCTCTATCCCAGCATTGCATCCTTCTATTATTTATTTATTTGTATAAAATATTTAAACCCTACCTTTCTCCTTCAAAAAAGGACCCAGGGTAGCTTACATAATTAAACACACAATATTAAAAAACTAAAAACAGTAAATTATTCATACATGAAAGAAGAATCAATAACATTTAAAATGTTAGGTAAAAGCATTATGAAAACAGTTTCAGAAGCAACAAAATATAAACCATCCCATTTATTGTCTCCTAAAAAGAAAGCCTCTCCTGAGAAATCTATACGTGGGACAGGAAGCAACAGATATGGAACAAGTGATTGGTTCAAAATTGGGAAAGGAGTACGACAAGGCTGTATATTGTCTCCCTGCTTATATGCAGAATACATCATGCAAAAGGCAGGACTGGATGAATCCCAAACCGGAATTTAGAGTCCTGGAAGAAATATCAACAACCTCAGTTATGCAGATGATACCACTCTGATGGCAGAAAGTGAGCAGGAGTTAAAGAACCTCTTAATGAGGGTAAAAGAGGAGAGGGCCAAAAATGGTCTGAAGCTCAACATCAAAAAAACTAAGATCATGGCCACTGGTCCCATCACCTCCTGGCAAATTGAAGGGGAAGATATGGAGGCAGTGACAGATTTTACTTTCTTGGGCTCCCTGATCACTGCAGATGGTGACAGCAGCCACAAAATTAAAAGACGCCTGCTTCTTGGGAGGAAAGCAATGACAAACCTAGACAGCATCTTATAAAGGAGAGAGATCACCTGGCCGACAAAGATCCGGATAGTCAAAGCTATGGTTTTTCCAGTAGCGATGAATGGAAGTGAGAGCTGGACCATAAAGAAGGCTGACCACCAAAGAATTGAGGCTCTTGAATTGTGGTGCTGGAGGAGACTCCTGAGTGTCCCCTGGACTGCAAGGAGAACAAACCTATCCATCTTGCTTGAAATCAACCCTGAATGCTCACTGGAAGGACAGATCCGGAAGCTGAGGCTCCAATACTTTGGCCATCTCATGAGAAGAGAGGACTCCCTGGAAAAGACCCTCATTTTGGGAAAGTGTGAAGGCAAGAGAAGAAGGGGACAACAGAGGACGAGAAGATTGGATAGTGTCATCAAAGCTACCAACATGACTTTTCCCCACCTCTGGGTGGCAGTTTAGGACAGGAAGGCCTGGAGTGCTCTGGTCCATGGGATCACGAAGAGTCAGACATGACTTAATGACTAAACAACAACAACAACAACAACAACAACAACAACAACAACAACAACAACAACAACAACAACAACAACAAAGAAAGCCTGCCGGAAGAGAAAAGTTTTCAGCTGCTTGCAAAAAGACAGCAGCAATGGGGCCAGCCTGGCCTCCTGTGGGAGGGAGTTCCAAAGTCTGGGAGCAGCGACAGAGAAGGCCCTCTCCCGTGTCCCCACCAAACGCACCTGTTAAGGTGGTGGGACTGAGAGAAAGGGCTCCCCTGATGCTCTAAACACTAGGGTAGCTCATAAAGGGAAATATGGTTGTTGTTGACTAAAACTGTTTAGGGCTTTCTAGGTTAAAACCAGCACTTTGAATTGAGCCTGGAAACAGATCTACAACTATCACAGTCAGCCCAATTTCTCATTCTGCTTGAGTGTGTTGGAAAAACACCAGTAGCCCACACACAAAGCACAGGGGCACCAGACACACATATACTGCTAGCATGGCAGCTAACCACCACACCACAAAGGAAAGCTTCTCCCTGCCCCAACGTGCCTGCTATTAGATACAGTGACAGAACCCCTGCACCTTCCCCTTGCGGGAGAGGAAGAGGACAGTGGTTAACAAAGGCCAGATTGCCGATGCCAGCACTGCCACACACCTTGAAATCAGTGGCAAAGATCAGCAAAGCATTGTTTCAATGCCTGGCTCTGAGGAATTATCGGGGCCAAATGGAGACAGGGCAGAGAGGCATCTTGCCCTTTGCCTCAAGCAGCCGTGTCAGGTACATTTTAGCAGAGCCTATCTTCATTGTAATGCTAATTTCCTGTTTCTTCTCATGTCCTGTCTTTTGGCATTGCCTCACTTTTGCTCCCGCTTGCTGATTTCTGGCTGGGTTGTTCTTACCACAGAGCTAGGTACCAGCCAAAGCAGGGCACCAGTAAAACTCTTCTTGACATAACTCATTGGTTGCCAACTTTTGGTAACCCGAGTACTCCTGGACTGCTGTGCTGGCCAGGGTTTCTGAGAGTTGCAACCCAAAAACACCTGAGTTATCCAAGGCTAGGAACCACTGACATAACTGAAATCTTTATTCTTCTTCAATCCCAAACACTGTTTTACCTTACAGTGGATATGAGACCATGGATGAAAATGATTACTGTAAATCAAAATGAGTGTTACTGAAGCTGACAGAGAATTGTTCCACAGAAATAAAACATTATAGAAGAAGCTGAGACTGAAGCTGGGTAGCTCATGGCTTGCTTAAAATGCCCATTGCATAAGGGTAATCCTGACTTTCTGAAGGAGCGTTTCCTCCTGTCATTCAGTGCTTAGGTGCATCTTATGGCAACACAAATGGTGTCATTATCTTTCACTCATTCATTTTTAATTGCCAGCCATAAAAATTGCATTGTTTGTTACATGCTTTAAGGGAAAAAAGACACCTTTCTTTGTGATGCAAAACATCAGAATGCAAAACCCAGAACAAATGTGACATGGGGAGGTCTATGATCGGATCACTTCAGGCTTTATTTCAATCAAAGGAAAAGATACTCTCCTTTTCTCCCTGCTATCTACTCAATCCATTAATTGCCTCTAAAGCCTTGTAGGAGAGTGGAGGGGGAAAACCTACAGGCCTCTTAATTTTTTTCTCTTTGAGAAGCAATACAGCAGCTTCAGGATAGAAAAGTTTAAATACCTCCATCTGATGTTGCTTTGCTATTCTAGTTAAAATCCAAACACCACAATTTATTTAAGGTCTTGCTTTGTTTTAACTGTTCTACATGATATTTGTTTCAATTACCAGAAACATGCAGTACAGAACATTTAACAAAAAAGGGAAGACATTCCCTTCAGTGATAGGATTTTCTCACTATAGCTCAGCAATGACTGCCACAACATAAGCTAATTTTTACCTTCCAGTTTCTAACTGCAAAACAAAGCATCATTAAATGCAAGATACCCGGATAAGGAAACACATGTGCTCTGACAGTTGCCTTTCACTACTTGAGAGAGTGCTGCTTCCGAATACATGTTGAGTGTCTCATCTGGCATGATTGTGAAACAGGGCTGAACCAAGACTTTCTCCCACAAGAGGTAAAAGACAAGATGTTGTCCCTTTCATTCCATGTACTGTACAGGTAGCTGAGTCCTCCCTCAACACTGGCAATTGGACAGGGTGTCTGCTAAACTAAAAGCAACAGGCCAGGTTAGAGGGACAGGACCGACTGTGTGGTACCCAGCACTACCCTCCGAGAGAGGGAAAAGGCCAAAAGTCTCAGGAGAAACATCAGCCTGAGGAGTTTGTGTCACTGTATAAATGGTAGGATCGAGCCAGCCCAGATGTAGACAAAATTTTACTCAGTCGAATAGAACAAGGTGCTAATCATTACCACATTATTTTAAAATGAGATTATGTGATCCAAAACTAATAAATACCTTTCTCTTCAGCAGCTGTGTTTCTTCTTTCAAGCTGAGATTTTCCAGTTGAACTGCCTCATGTTGCTCTCGGCACAACTTTTCCTGAGCTTTGGCCTCTGCTCGGCCCTTTTCGGCCTCTGCTTGGGCCAGAGAAGCCTCCTCAGCAAGTCTGGAGTACTTTGCCGCTGCCTGCTGAGAGGTGCTCAGCTTCTGCTTGAGCTACAAGAGGGACAGGAGGTGAGGAAGGGGGGGGAAACACTTGGAGAGAGAGTCAGAAAACCTCCTCACTCCTGCTGTTTTTCCACTTACCTGGTAGTCAGAGGATAGGGGAGAAGGTAGGAGGGACAGCGTTCTGTAGCGCTTCAGAGCACAAGGCATTCTAGGCAAAATCTGAGGGTAGGCAACTGGCTCAGCAGAGGCCTCGGCAGTCAGATTTTTGAAATATTGCATTTTGTATACACAAAAATAAAAGGCGTTAAATCCAATTGTCAAGGCCCAGTTAGAGTGGACCTACAATAATTATGATCATTATATTGACCAAGTGGGTTTTATGTAAGTCAACGCTCGAGTGAGTTCCATTGATTCTGTGGTTTTACTCTAATTGGGGACTAACAATTGGATTTTCCTCACAGTATATGGAACACTATGGTGGCTTGTAGTTTTTTTGTAAGGAAAAAAAATACTTATCCAGAAAACTGGGACATTCAAAAGCATTTAATGTCAAATGAGTAAGTGTGGCAATTAACTGTTAAATCTTCTCATAACTATTGAAAGAAAAACTAAACTGATTCCATTTTTCCTGCTGTTCTGGAGATTTTTCCTTGTCTTTGTTAACACTTCTTTTAAATGCCTCTGCAAATTACTTATACAATGCCTCTCAGTGCATTGCTTTGAAAATTTCCTCTATGATTAGCCTTTTTTCCCTAGTGTCCTGAAGGCACTAACTAGTCAGGAGTGTAGGGCTGAAGTATCCTGCCATAAGACATATTACCTGCAGTTTCACTTGCAAATTTCAACCGTATTTTTTGCTGCTGCTGACATTTCATTTTGTTCCCCTCATTTTATCATGAAGAAGCCAGAAAATAGCTGCACATACATGCAAAAATCAAAGGGTTAGGTGCCATTTTTCTAACAAAGCTCCTGGAAATGTATAGGCCATTCATGTGTCTCAAGACTTACTGTTTCAGTTTTTACTAACATAAACATTATCTCTTTCATGACACCATTTTCAAAACATCTGTGAAGCAACTGTGTCAGAAAGCCCTGAGGTGCCTGCAATCTAAATACCGGTATTCAACAGAAGCAAAACAGAGTTAAACAGTAAGGCAAGGGGGTGTGCCCAAAAGGAGTTCATGTATATAGGTAGGTATGTTTGTATACGTACAGTACATGCATGTGTTTTATATGCTATTTTCCTTCCTAGCAGAATCCAAGGTGGCGTCCAACTTACATTTTCAAAATAACTTAATTTAAAAAAATACAACAAATCAAGCTAAAACATAAAATAAAATAAATTGCAGTATTATATTGATTATCCCATTTTAAAATCCACTAAGTTCATATATTAAAAATAGGTTAAAAACAACAACACGCAAATGAAGAAGCAAACTATTTCTTATTTCCTCTTCATTTGATTGATCTAGATAAAAGTGATTTTGCCTGCCAGTAGAAATATATTAATGGAGCATCAACCTAGCTTCCATCAAAAACTAGATTTGAAAAGACAATATTTTGTAGTGTTTTGTTTTTAGATTTTTTAAAAATTGTAGTTTTAAAAATCTTTCATTGTTCATTTGTTTGTTAGTTCAGAACATTTATATTACAACCTGTATCTTATGGTCTCAGGGAACAGGCCAGCAATAAAAACAATCTAAAAACAATTAAATATTGTAAAACCATTAAAACTATATGCATAAATTAGAACCAATAACAATAAGGAAGCCTCCATAGTCTAGTATCTTAATTCCCAAAAGCTTTGAGAATAATCATGTTTTGACTTGGCAATGAAACATGGTAAATGGTGCCAGTTAAGTCTCTAAGTGGAGCGCATTCCATAAATGGCATGTTACAGCCAAGAAAGCCCCACCCCGATGTCTCCACATAGTGGATCATTCTTCATAGCTGGGCATAATCCTTCAGAGGGAGTGTAACCTCATCAGAACAATTTGTTTACCTAATTCCCAGACATGGAATTCACTGAGCCACACAGCCTCCATCTTTTCAAGATTCGTTTGAGTTTATTGGCCCTCATCCAGCCCATAACTCTGCTTCCTCATTGGAGTCATTTTTTTTGTAACCATCCCCTCCTCCAAAAGGTTCACTGTAAAATTTGCAACCATACCTTTTAAAAGCTGGAAAGAAAAGGGTACCTACAGAATATAAGATTTGCTAAGCGGGGGATTGTCCCTGATGAAAGAAAGAACTGAACACCAAGTTAGCTGATCGTAGACTTACCTGGCTGCAAATAAAGCAAATATATTCAGCAGCACAGACAGTTAAAAAAAACACTCCCTCACAGAATTTGATGCACTCTACACAGATTTGAGAAAACAAAGAATAAGTGTCTCGAACACAAATGGATAATAGATGTGATATACACAGGAAAGCAAGGATCCAAATTAGTGTGGGAAACAGAACTGTTAATCAGTATTATGGAACAACAATGAGAGAAAAATTGGACAACAGCTTCTTGTAAAAGAATCTCAGCACAAATAGAAGGAACAATCTGAAAACAGGATAGAGATGGGACTCAAAAAAAGTAAAGCCGTCTAAAATGAATGCAGTTTTCCCCTGCATGCTGGAGAGGGTGCTGCAGAAAGACAGGTACCTTAATTAATCTATGGTGGGAATGTCCAAGAGTGAGAGAGTTCTGGAAGGAAGCAGAAGCCCAAATTCCAAAAACAAGTCAAAATATTAAGCACTGTGGAACACTGTATATGTTGACTATTTTTATGGGTCCTAATGAACAATTGTTCAAAAAACATCCTTATTAATAGTGACAGCACACTTAAAAATAATGCAATGGAGGACACTGGAAAGGCCGACAACAGAAAACCGGGTCAAAAGAATATGGCAGATACAGTAGTGCTGATGGGAAAGTTAACTCATGTCCTTAAGGTATCAAAGCAGCACCCAACCTGGACAATTTATTTTTATTTTATTTTATTGCAACGTGGAATCCTTTTGGTTAAAGTCTACAGTGGAATTTAGGCCAACAGGACATTGTACAAAATCCTGGCAAGATGTGCTTATAAACCAGAAATAGAATTTTGCACTAAATAATAAATCCTGACAGCCAAACTCTTAATGGCAATATCAGCATCGGCATCCATGCAGACCTTTTGTACAGAACAAACTAGATGCCAGGAAATTTGTTTGTAATCTTGTATTTAAAGAATGTTGTCTTGTGTTGTTAATTTTGAGATACAAATGGAAACATGGAAAAATATTTCATTGTTTTCTTGACCTTCTATTTTGTTAGCAATCTTTTTTGTCAACACTGCACAGCTACTGAGAGAAACTAAGATTATTTGATTTAACAAGACTTCTTTCTCTCC